TATATATATATATATATATATATATATATATATATAAAGATGCATTCAAGAGCCTTAAAGAAGCCTAAGAATATTTATTTAAACAAAGACAGAAATGAAGATAAAAATATAAAGAAGCCTTCGCAAACAATGACAGAAAAGAAGAAGAAGATATAAATATAAAGACGCAGTCAAAGGCTTTAAAGACGCGAACTTCGTTGTTTTTTTTGCAGTAGTTATTGCATGTGCTGACTTCATGTCTATTATTTATTATTATTATTATATTATTATACTATTATACTATTATATTATTATTCTATTTGTATTTATATCTAAATATACAAATACAATTACAATCCTTAGAGATATTATCTATATACCTAGAGAAGGAGAGGCTTACAAATGAATATAAATTTACTCTGCATGTCGATAGGCGTTGAAGCAAATTAAAAACAAACAAGATATATATAGTTTCATCAATACAAAGAAGTATTAATGAGTTAACGAGAAGAAGTTTGTTTTAATCTGCTGTTTATGATTAATTATATTATTATATAATTATATATTTACTCTGCTGGCTTAGCAGCAGCAGCACTTGAGATCTTTTTATTTTCTTCTTTAAGTCTACGCTTCTCTTTTTGTGCTGCAGCCTTCTGCTTCCTTGCATCTACTTGCTCTTGAAGAGCCTTCTCTTTTACTTTCATATTCTTTTCGTTATGAATTGCTTCAATCAATACTCTCTTATTCTTAAACTGATTTCCTTTACACCTCAAATATAACTTGTGGTACCTGCATATACACCCCAATCATATGCATGCAGCCCCAACATAAATAAATATGCATAAAAGAAATAAATTACAATGCTCTCTTTCTCATTCTTTATCTTAATAACATATACATATATTTATTTATTTATTTATTTATTTATTTATATTTAAATAAATCAACAGCATACACAACAGCAACAATAATCAAACATACAGAGAAAAAACGAATGTACAAACAAATGTATAAATAAATGTATAAACAAATATATAAATAAAGGCATAAACAAATGCATTAAATATCTTGCTAAGCCTCTCTTTTTATTTTATTTTTCTACTTAATTTCTAACAGCCTTCTGTACACGGAGATGAAAGACAAGACAAAGTAGAAGCAGAGCAACAAACAACAGCATAAAGATAATCTTTATAAAGTTAACACCAGCACATAAATAAAATAAAATAAAATAAAATAAAATAAATGGATTATAACTTACATATGACTGTCGATAGACAGCATGAAGAGAATCCTTAAAACAAACAAAACTAAAATAAACTAAACTAAACTAAAATAAATAAATAAATAAATAAATAAAATATAACTTACATATGGCTATCGATCTTCTTAGCGTCTCTGTATTTCTTCAAGAGTCTCCTCAAGACCCGCTGACGCCTCATCCACAGCACTTTTGCAGGTAGACGCGCATCTCGAGTACCCTTTCTCTTGCCAATCCCCATGTGACGCCCTAAGCAGCAGCAGCAGCAGCAGCAGCAGCAGCAGCAGCAGCAGTGCAGGAGAGGCGAGGGTGAGGGCAGCAGCAGGAGAAGCAGTAGCAGCAGCAGCAGCAGCAGGAGTAAAGGGGTATAGCATGAGCATAGGAGTTAAAGAAATGAAAGGATAGACGGATCTCTGCTTTATTTGCTGCTGTTGCTGTTGCTGCTGTTGCTGTTGCTGCTGTTGCTGCTGCTCTTTGCGGTGTATTTGCATGCATTCTGCTGCTGTCTCTACGCTCCTTCCCAGCAGCAGCAGCAGCAGCAGCAAACAACAAAAGAAAAGCAAGAAGAAGACACAAACACAAACTAACGACAAAATAATAAAAACAAACAAACGGCAGCAAAACCACTGCAGCAAAACAACACAAACAATACCACCATAAATGCAGCAGCAGTAACAGCAGCAGCAGTATATATATATATATATACTGTACTCCTGTTGCTTATGCATATATATATATATATATATATATATATATATATACATGCATAAATACATACACACACATTCATACATATAAATATACATATATATGACAATATTATATATATATCATATAATATTATATATATATTATATAATATACATTATATATTATATATATTATATATATTATATATATATGTAGATACATACCTTGGCGTTTAGCTTGTTGATAAAGCCTATATCTATATTTAGAGTGTACAGCGACAGCCTTCCGAATGATAAGATTATCTCTAATTAACTTGCGAACAGAAAAGCGACTGTTCGCTAGAGCTATGTCTCCGCTTTCATTAGGGTCTAGCCACACTCTGTGCTGACCGCACTTTAAAATAGATGCTGCGAGGCGCTTCTGAAGACGCAGAGACTGCATGCATTATATTCAACGCACACATACACATAAATAGATATATATATATAGATATATATATAGATATATATATATATATATGTTCGTAAACAATTATAGTTTTGCTGTATTTGCTGCAGCCAAAGCAGCATCATACAGATCTTCTTCCTCATGATATTAGCAAAAACCCTAAACCCTAAACCCTTAAACCCTTAAACCCTAAACCCTAAACCCTAAAAGAAACAGTCGCAACATATGCTCAAGTAGATGCAGTTTGAACAGCACAAGCAGGAAATGCAGCAGTTACAGCAGTAATAGAAGCAGCAATAGCAGCAGCAATAGCAGCAGCAATAGCAGAAGCACAAGCAGCAGAAGTAAGAGCAGCAGCAGAAGCAGCATTCAGATATAACGTTTACAATACACAAACAATAACAGTAATAACAACAACAACAATAACAATAATAATAATAATAATAATAATAATGAGGAGAAGAAGAAAAGGATAAAGAGATAAAAAGACAGACGCAAACAACTGCAGCACAAAGCAGCAAATTAAAACGCAAGCAGCACAAACTTAAAAAAAATAAATAAGACATTTAAACACACCAATTGAAAAGCTGTTGATTAAATAAAATATATTTATTTGTTTATTTATCAATCCTTTTATTTTAATATATATACTTCGGTAGGAGTATAGAGAAGAGCAAAGACAGATTAAATAGAGGCAAGACAGAGGAGAGAAGAAGAAGGTTAACACACAAACAAAACCTCAAAAATAAAACAAAGCAACAGAACAAAACAAACAAACAAAAACAAAGAAAAAGCAACCAACAGCAGCTAAGAAAGAAAAGATATAACTAAGCAGCTTAGATATAGAGGGGCGGCAGCAGTATCTGCGAGGGACGAGAGAGCTTATAACTCTAGAATTAAGAAGCAAAGTTTAAATAAATATATATAAAAAGAAAAAAAACAATAAAATAAATTAAACAACAAAAGAATATAAATGCGCCCCACAGCACTTTTCGTTGATTTGTTTGTTTGCTGCTGTTGCTGCAGCACATCAACCTCTCTGCGTCTGCATCTCTTTTAATAATAAACTTAAAAAAAACAAATAAAATAAAAGAAAATGATAATTATACTCCGGTATATTTCAAACAAAAACCCTACACAGAGACCTCCTGGGGGGGCTGCTGCAGCAATAATACTGCCCTCACCATCTTCGCTTCTTTAACAGATAAACTGCTGCTCTATGTTTTATTTTATTAGCCTCTCGCCTGATATTTATCAACTTCCTCAATTTGGCTCTCCTCCTAGAGGCATAATATGCAGTTTTTGGGGAAAGGCGGCTGCTGCAGCACCTGCTGCTGCTGCTGGCTGCAGCTGCAGCAGCAGCAGCAGCTGCTGCTGGCTGCTGCTGCTGCAACCGCGGCCGCCACTGCTGCTTCAGCTGCTTCCCTGCATGCATGCATATGCATGCATGCGTTGTTTTTCTTTCTTTACGAATATAATAATAATATATTAATTTTATAAATAAATTTTAGTATTCTTTACACTTTCCTGCTACTTTCTGTTAAGCAGCGTCTGCTGTTCTGCTTGCGACCCCTCCTAAGAGATTAATTTTTTTTATTTATCTATATGCAGGTTTTTACCTCTTTATAAATAGCATCAATAAGAAAAGAAAGGGCTTTAAAATGAAGGACAGTGTTGACTAGAAAGATTTGCAGTAATTCTTAGACTGTTCCATTAATAATACTTTCAATTGCCTCAGTGCTTGTCAGGGTAGATACAACAACAGGTTCTAAAGGAGGTGGATATATATATATATATATATATATATATATATATCACG